CTGGTCTGGTGGAAGATGTCCCTGCTCATGGCAGGGGGGGTGGAACCAGATGATGTTTAGGGTTCCTTCCAACCCTTACCATTCTATGACTGCTCCAGCCCTACCTGACCTGATTGCAGATTCTTCCAGTGGCCTCCTCCTGCTCCCTCTTCTGCCCTGTCTGCTGGTGTCCCACAGGCCTCTTCGGTGCCTGCTGTACTTCTCCGCTCACGCTGGCAGCATAGACAAGATGCAGCAGCCTGGCACAAATCTGTGATCCCCCCCCGGAACCGGAACAGGGCCTGGAGGTCTGCAGAGGAAGGAGACGTCTGCTCTCAAGTGCATTTCTAGTGGCCAGAGGACACCCAGTGTGGAAAACTGCTGATATTCCTTTTAATGTTGTTAAAAAAAGTATTAGCAGGTAATCGTGGGGCTTCTGTGTCAGCATTAGTCTTCAGAGACTTCAAAAAATGTGCAGGAATTGTATACAGCACTCAAAAGAGGCAATGGTGGTTTGTCTGTTAAATTAGTGCTTTGGAAGGAGCACTGGATCCCTGGGGGACCCGGCTGCGGCGGGGGGGTTGGACAGGGTGACCCACAGAGGTCCCTGCCAACCCCGGCCATTCTGTGATTCTGTGAAAGAAATTCCTAGCCAGTTATTTTGGAAGACTAAATTAAATCTGAGTCATCGTTGTAAACCTACATTACAGAGATGATGTTGACTTCTGCCTACGTCAGTAATCTGCTCGGGGCTCGTAACACGGCTTCGGGATGGACTGCGGAGAGGCCATGTGTCACGGGCTCTGATTCACTGCTGAGGAATGGTGCAGAAGGGACAACAGGAGGCCTTCAGAGCTGCGGGGCTTGGACAGGGAGGAGCGAAAGTTCAGGGAACACGTATGTAACGCACTTGAGTGCGGAGGAGTTTCTAGGAGATGGGCATGGCTCTGCTCACGGCTTTGTTGGGGTGTGCAGATCAGGGCTTCATAGCTGCTGGCAGAGAGCATGCGAGCACCTGAGGGCACCCGAGAGGTGGTGGTTGAGGGGGCTGCAAACACAGCTGTGCTCTGCGTGTTACCAGAGATGGGACCAAAGAGCCGCTGGTAATGGTTCTTATTTTTCTATAGGTGAACAAAGCACTTCTTCCTGGGTTTATCTGGACTAAGCCACCATCATCTTCTAAAGGTGCAGCACCTTCACTGTTCTCTGCAGCATTCGTGTCTACTGATGCAGGCAAAGGTAGGCAAACATAAAGGGTGAATATACACCCTCACAGCTGTAGCTTTTGCTTCTGGAGCAGAACATGGGATGTTTAGAGCTCAGATGAGCAATTTAAGTTCTCCATTGTCTAAGAGGGCTTGAAATTCTATTTTGAGTAAGCCCAACCACTCTTGTCATCTAAAAACCAATACTGTTTAACATTAAAAATTCTGAGAAATTTCACCATTTAAATAGCTCCAAAAGTTACTACTCTCTTTGCTTCCTTTGAGAACTTCTTCATGTGGTTCTTGGCTAAATCTAACCCTTTGCCCAGATACTGTGGACTGGCAGTGCTGGTCGGGGCCCCAGCAGGAAGTCAGAAGCACAGCCGAGTAAGTTGTTCCTCATGTATGTGTGGCTGAGTAAAAAGCAAGACAGGTGTTCTGATACTCTTTGACTTTGTTGGATTTAATATTCAGAGTGGTTTAAGTAGGTACAATTTTCCCATCAAAATTATAAATAACCTCAAATTCCTAAAGAGCTGACACTGCCTCTGTGCATTTTTGCAAACTCTGTGGTCACAGCATCAAACTTGCAAGCCTTTAAGGCCATCTGTTCAGCAGCTTCTGGGCGTCTCACGGTGTCCGTAGGCCTCTGGCGTGTTGCATGCCTTGCTCGCTCAAACACATCCTCACATTTTGAGTCATGAGACTAGAGTTTGTTAAAAAATAGTAAGAGAATTTTTAAACCAACCCATACTGCTGAATTGCATAGAGAAGGGTGGCAAGGAACCCCCCGACTGACAGCTGGGGCTGCCCCAGCACAGGGGCTTGCCAGAGACCCCAAAACTCTCGGGTCAGAAAGCAAGCAAAAAGGGTTTGTTCCCAGCATCGCCAGCTCCCTCGCGTGCTCGTTCTGTCCCGTTCTGAATTTCTTATCCCTTTACTGCCCCAGCTGCCTGGGTATGAGGAACCCCGTGCGTGGCTCTGCCAGGAGGTGGGTGGGTGTGACAGAAGGGCAGGCAGCCAGCTCCCTCGGACAACAGTTACTTGATCCGATTTAAATTGTGCACCGAAACAGCAGTTTCACTCAAACTTGCTAACAACGGATAAATAAAACTCAAGATTTTATCTTCAAAACATCCTCTCTCTGGGGTGTATTTGTTTTCAACTATCATCTGTTCGTCACAGCCAGAGTGACTCAGCATCCATTTAATTTGTAGCCAAAATGCCCTGCAGGCAGTGGAGCAAGAGGTGAATCCTGCTCTAAAATGCTGTGAAATAGTTGCATTTTTATAAGAATGCCAAATTAATGATTTCCTTTAGAAAAAAAATCTTTCCATTAATCCCAGCTGTCCCAGCATGACTGTACTAGTGTCTAGAATTTTGTTTTTGTCCAGTTTGCAAGAATAGCCATGCATGAATCTAGCTTGTCCATTTCTCTAAAAAACAAGTTCTAACACAAAATAATGGCAACTGAAGAGAACCACAGTACACCAATTAGTTCTACTCATTTGAGAACGATTCCTTCACAAACAACACATTTTAATAGGGATAATGCAGAGGTGTGCAGTATTTTAATGCAATCATGCACTAGTCACAGTACGTGTTGGCTAAACCGTGATGTACAATTTTTCAGGTGTCGGTTTGTCTCTAGGGGTTTTTTCCCACATCTTCTGTTTAAGAGTCGACTACCTGGGACAGGGATTAGCTTAAACTGTAAGGCCCGCCAAGATGCAAGCACTGCAGGGTACGAGGTGCTACCTCAGTGCTGGTAACTAGCAGAGCTGTCAGTGAAGGGCACTGCCACCACCTGGGGACCAGTTCTGCTGTGGGGAAGGAAAGAAAGGCAGCACAGAAACATCAGCACTTAAAGGGCAAAAGGGTTTGCTTTAAAACAAACAAACAAACAAAGAGGTTTTCAGAGCCTACACAGATCAACACAGTGGGACACAATTTTGCCAGGAATTCATGTTATATTCCACCAGTTGTCGGCAAAGCTGACAGTTACCAATACCGTTTATCTGCCTCTCAAAATTACAGAAGCTTAAAATTCACAAGCTTTTCTTGACCTGTTCAGGTGAACCTTGTAAATAACTGCAAGGTCATGGCATTTGTGTCATGCTTTGCAGCTGCAGAGGAAGAAATGTGCACATCAACAATATATTTCATTTTTAAACAAGGTCATATTTTATCTTTTTGATCAAACCATTCCAGTTCTTCAGCTCGCAGTAGCAGGATACAAAAATTGTTATTAAGCTTCTGTTAAGAAAAAACCCACAATGGATCTCTATTAAAGACCTCCTATAATAAACAAACCATTCATGTATTACATAAAAACATATCCTAAGAAAAAAGTGTTTTCTTTTGGCATAGTTTCATTTTAAAACCATTTATTAAAGATATCCACCAGTGCACCTGCTGCCCTCAGAACTAGAATGCAGCATTTCAGAAAACAAGTCCATCCATTTACATTTGTTCACATTTTAGACCGTTCCACTTTCAACGCTGGATCCGTTAACTGGAGGCTCGACAATCAGTCTTGGCTCTATCAGTGCATCCCAACTTTCAGTTATCTGAAAACAAACCCAGACAATACTTAGCACACACAACCACCACAGGCAGATGCCATTCCTCCTACAGCATGCTTTGCCTAGACTTGAACAGCAGCAGTGCTGAACAAAGATCGCAGATCCTTCCCGTGATTCATCGATCTTCTTGATGAACCTCAATCTGCCTGATGTCCGGGGTAAGGACAGATGCAGGTAAGCGCAGCAGTGCATGACACAAATAACCTTGTAAGAACTCACACTCTATCCAGACATGATGCTATTTATTTTATTAGCCCAAACAAACAGTTACACACTTTGATGACTGTTTTGGAATCTGGCTAATCGAGTAACATGAAAGAAGTGATTCTTAATTCATAGTCATGCACATTCTTGCTAGAAAGGAACAATTATTTTTGCTTCCATTTATTTTAATCAGATGCAGCATTATTATACAGGCAATCTCACCGAGATGAACAGAGTGATAAAGCAGGGCATACATCAGCTACGCAAAACTTGTAACAGGCTTCAAAACCGGACACCCACATACCTTTGTATCCTGAGGAACCGCGTACTCTATCAATTCCACTCCATCTGCAGACTGGTAAACCAGATCAAATTTCCCTGGCTCTTTAGCGACTTAAAAGCAAACAAACAAACAACTCCATTAACTATAAACAAAAAAGTTTAAAAGTTCACCAGATTTAGACAGCTAATCAAAACCAGAGTTTTTTTGAGTTGGGTGTTTGGGTTCATAATTTTAACAAAATATCTGAGATAGAACTAAATACTACACACCAAAATAAAGGTAATTATCTAGTATGATTATATGCATGAAAAAGTTAATCAACAATATGCTGCCTAAATCTGAGAAAAATGCTCATATGATGGTGGTTCTTTAGCTTAAATGGCAACTGCAGTATACGCGTTCAGTTTGAGAGACGTGAAACTACGAGTGTCTCTGAGTGCACTTTGACATTGCAGGGACTCAGTTTGCATCCACTGAATGCAGTGGCTTCACTGATGTCGCAGATAATGGCATTATGATCTAAAATTTTCTCTGTAATTCCACATAATGATTTTAGTTTTTCCAGGAAATGAAACCACAGTAGAGATGAATTACTGACTGCTCATACAGACTGGAAAAGTTCCATTTTGTAAATACCTATAAGCATCTTCAATACAAGTAGCAAGTGTTAGCACTGCTCCATTTAAATGGACTCTTTGGGGAGGGAGTGAGGAGGAGAGGGGTGTGCTGAGAAGGAACCCGAGGAAATCAGAAATACTCCTGAAACACAAAGCATGCCTTGGACTAGCTGTTTCCCAAGTGATGTGCGTGACAACAAGCATTTAGTGTCCCAGGGTACGTACACTGTCCTGCTGACGACGAAAGGATCTCAAGCTCGATCTGCTTTTTATCAGCATTCCAACTGATTATTTTCCCCTCCTTCATAAAGCAACAAGAAAAGAATGAGGTAAGATGTACTTCAGCTCTGGGTAGCTATTTCCTATTTATAGCCACTGTGATACTTGATCACAGAGGAAGTGTATCTGTCTGTCACATTTTTCTATCTCTGCGTATAAAATCTGCAGAGTATTAAAGCTCAGCAATCTGCAGTTACTGGCATCAATAAACAGTTATTCATTGCCACCACCTTTGTAGTTTAAATCAGTACTTATCCAGAAACCAAGTTATCTGAAGTAGCTACAAAATTTTACTCGCACCAGTTTCAAGAATTTGCCTTGACTTCAAACAGCAGTAGGCTCGAATACAGGCACAGTTTTCTACTTGAAGCTCTGCATTTTTTGTCATCTCTGAAATATTAATGATCGCTAATAATGCTTGTGGGTTTTTTAAAATAACTGCTACACCTTTCAAATTTTCAATTAGTTTTGGGTTCTAGAGTTTTCATTTTTAGTGCTGCACCAAGAATAGCCTGCGGAGTCAAATGGATGAGAAGAAAAATACTGCAAAACCTCAAAACATTTAAGCCTTACCTCACCTACAGTAGTTTTGTGAGCAAATTAAAAGAGGAAAGAAAAACAGTACCTTATAGTCTGAAACTTCAGGACTGTAATTTTCAGTTAGTTCCAAGCGCTGTTGAAAGAAATACAAATAACAACTGATCCTTGATGATGCCACCTATACCCAGACATGGTTTCCTCAGCAAGGGGAAAGTGCAAGAACCAAGTCTCCGGCTCCGGGATCCTGGTGCCCATCACAGGCCCAGGCCATCTTCCAGGACTCACCGTGCCAAAGGATTTCTGTTCAGGTCGGGCTGTCAGAGGAGATCAGGGAGATGGATCCCAGTCTCCTCAATGGCAGTGATTTAGTTTTCATTTACTTTTTTATTTTAGAGTGAAGTGTAGCTATTCGTATGGTAAGATTTGCAATAATATTGTAGAAATGCTATAGAGAGAAGTAACAACACAGAGGTGTTTTTTTTTCTTTTGATAGCATCCAATTTTAATGCTGACTTTCCTCGCATGTTGGAAAGAGAGGGGTAACGTATTTCTTTCTGGCATTCTTATTTAAACATGCCCACGGTAGAGAGACACTTTGTGAAGGTGCAACCAGAAAACTGTATTACTTGTCAACTGACTCGTGACTTGTGTGTTAGCTAAGAGAGTCATTGTACAAATGTACATCGAAATTCACACTGAAGTGACAGTGGAGACATTTCTTGGTTTGTTTTATACAAATACAGGAAGTCTAAAAGAAATGCGTTTAACTTATGCACATGCTCCAAACCTTTGTAAAAATCAAAGTCAGACTTTACTACAAAAGAATTTTTTAGAGCTGACAACAGTTACAGTTTCTGTTGTATGGGAAACTACTGGGTTAGAAAGCAAGCAAGAGAGCAGAGAATGCTTTCAGAGATGCGTACAAACATTAGACACAAGATGTTTTAGGTGCTGAAATATTTGCTTAAGTTTAAAACAAAATTTTTAAAAAAGAACAAATAAATAGGATGAAGATACTTTCTAACTCTTCTACTTCTAGGATAACGGTCCCAGAACAAATTCTTCAGCGTAAGCTTCTGGTTGTCAGGACTGTGTTATCTGTAGCGTGTCCTGCAAAACTTACACTGGCCCAAATGAAACAACTTTAGCCCGCTAACATTCAGTATTTCATAAGTTCTTTACCTTAAAGGCAATTCTTTCTCCCACTTGTGGTGGGGCAGCTAGAAGAGGTAACACACTGTAGTCCCTCTTGGGGGCCTCCAGAGGATTCTGTGAAACAAACAGAAAACCCATTGATTTAATCAGTGTATTAATAAAACCAGAAGACAATGTTTGTGCTGTATGGATTGTAAGAAGTTCTGAGAAGAGTAAGGTACATATGCAAGTGCTTTGATACATATACAGAATATAATCACTTAAATATTGTTTCATAAACACTTCCTCAGGCTGCTAACTGGAGATACAGTAAATAGCAGATTTACTAAGTCAAGATCAGTCTTTATCCTACTAATCTTTTTCTGCTTTTACAACTTACTCTCCTCCTACACAGTTTTTGTACAGTTAAAGCTGCAAGAGACCTATGACTGCGTAAGTCACTCACCTGGACAAGAACAGAAGTGTTCGTCGCAGCTTCATTTAACTGCCTCTGTTTCTGGCCTTCACTGCTGTAGTTATAGAAGAAGCCAGGGTTTGCTCCTCTCCCACGGCCTTGGCCCCTCATCATCCCACGAAACCCACGGCCGCTAGGTCCTCTCCAGAAGTTATCCCCTCCTGTTCCACGCCCCCTTCCGCGGCCTGGGCTGGCAAGTGGTCCTTGAACACTGGCTGGCAACTGCTTAGTACAGTTCCTTACTACGGAATTACTCAGTCCAGCATTTGCTGCGGGTTTTTTAATAACAAGTGTTTCTGAATCTGAACTGTCAGACTCTGAAGAGGAGGCCTTGGCGGTACTGGTTTTTACAGCTGCCGCGTTGTTAGGCAGCAACTTTTCCTTTGCAGTACTGTCTTGTGCTGGTGCCGCTTTCTCATCCTCCGTACTCGAGTCAGAATCTGAACTAGAGGACTGGGATTTTCTAGCATTTTCACTAATTGCAGTCTTAGTGGACTTTTCAGCTTTAGACTTTACAGTCACTTTATTAGAAACAACAGTTTTCACTTCAGAATGTGCAGCAGCTTGGGATTTGTCTTTGGGAAGCGTTGACACTACGGGTTTATGGGAAGATTTATTTTGCTTTAATTCACTGCTGTCACTGTCAGACGATGTGCTGGAAGAATCTGAAGGCCCCACACTCTTTTTCCTGGACTGTGTTGTGATTTTTCTGGTGCTATTTTTACCAGAATTTAGAGAAAAGCTCTCATTTGCCTGTTCTAAAGCCACCTTTGCTGCAGCAGCCTTTGTCTTCTTTTCAACCTTCTTTTTTGTTGCCAACTGTTTCTCCCTCTCCGTTTTTTTAAGCTTTTTAGATTGGTCAGTAGAGTGCTCCTCCTTACCTTCTGCGAGTCTACTTCTCCCACTAACTCCGTCCACTCCTTTTCTTTCCTTGTACCTTTTTTGAGAGCCCCCAGTATCTACAGAGGTCTCTTCCCTACAGGAGGAATACTCGGGGTTATGTTTATTCTTTTTCTTTTTCCTTTTATGTCTGTCTCTTTCATTTCCAGAGAACTCTTCCTCTTCCTGCTTTTGTCTACGCCTTTTTTTCTCTTCTTTTGGTGTGCAGGAGCAGCCATCGTTTATCTCTTCATAATCATCTGCGACTACCTCCTCCAGCGTTACTCTGCCAAAAGAAACCCC